AGAAACTCACTTCCTCCTTAAGTCTATTCTTGAGCATGAAGCTCTTTTTAACATGGTAAAACTCTACAAAACTAGACAAGCTATGACAACAGAATCTGTAAGCACCACAACTAGAAATCATGCAAACCTGGGGTACGGGAAGATCTCCTGTTCTGAAAACTGAATGAGACATTAAAAAAAAACTAAAGATGTGACTCGGTCCCAGAAAGATAAGTCATTTACACTATTAAACTCTACTAGAAAAAAAAAAAAAGCCACATGAAATCTATCCAAGCAAATCTTAAACATCCATGACAATAACATAAAGCGGATCTTCAAATCTAGCCAAAACAACTTCTAAGAACAAAAAGCACACGTGTGCAATAACAGAAAAGTCACAGTGTCGAAAACTAAATTTAAGGAGGACCTGGTTATAATATATATATATATATATATATATATATATATATATATATATATATGAAGGACCTGGTGGCACAAATCTGCAGTCCCAGCACTTGGGAGGTGAATAGTGCAGGGTACAGGAAGACCTATCCTGTCTCGAAATAAAACGAGAAGTTTCCAAAAGAAAAATACAAAATCTAAAAAGGTAATTTCACAAGATAGACTCTTTCCTACAGATTAAACATTATAGGAAAAAGTGAAAATATTAAAATATGAAAAATAAGCCAGGTAGCGGTACACGCTGTTAGTCCCAGCACACAGACGACGAAGAAGGCATGTATCTGAGTTCTGGCCAGCCTGGTCTATAAAGAGAGTCCAGGACAGCCATGCTACACAAAGAAATCCTGTCTCAAAAACAAAAACAAACAAACAAAAACAAACAAACAAAAAGGAAGAGAAAGAGAAAAAAAAGAGCAATACACAGAATGCTGTACCAAGAGAAAAATACTACGAAAAAAAAAACAAAGAGCAGCTCACAACTGTCTTGTAACTCCAGTCCCAGGTGATCTGACACCCTCACACATACATACATGAATGCAAAACACCAATGCATATAAAATGAAAACAAATAGTCATTTAAAAAAGGAAAAACCTCAGTGGCTGTAAAACTAATCATGTGACATGTATATGTGTAAGTGGTGTAACCTGAGGGGAAGGGGAAGAAAAATAAGAAAATCTTTTTGAAAAAAAAATTTCCATATATATTTGAAAGACAGTAAGACATAAAAACTGCCAAAAATGTAAATATGCCACTACATGTTTTAAAACTGTCTCATCTTAAAACTACTTTAAAAAAAATAAGAAGCTTGGGGCTGGGGAGATGGCTCAGCAGGTTAAATGTTTACACCTGAGCTTGGAATCCACCCTCATAAAAGCCAGCTGCGGTGGAGCTCGCCTGCAGCCCCAGCTCTGGGAAAGGTGGAAGGTGGTATGGATATGTGATCCCGGGGGCTTGCAGTCCAGGCAGACCTAATGGACTAGTGAGTGTTCCAGGGGGGTGGAGGGTGATGCACACCTTTAATCCCAGCGCTCGAGCCTGGTCTACAGAGTGAGTTCCAGGATAGCTAGGGCTACACAGAGAAGCCCTGTCATGAAAAGCCAACCAACCAACCAATTATCAATCAATAAATATTTTTCTAAAAGTAATAATAACATTAATAATAATAACACAATCCACTGAGCATGGTGGAACACACCAGCCACAGCAGTTGGCTGGTAAAGGCAGGCAGATCTCTGTGGTTCAAGGCCAGCATGGTCTACAGAGTTCAAGGACAGACAGGACTACAGAGAGACTCTCTTAACAGAGAGGAAGGGGGAAGGAAAGAGGAGGAGGAGGAAAAGGAGAAAATGATAAACGAACCTGACATGACACCTGCGCATGCACACATGTATTCGCCAGTGCACACACAGACACAAAACACACACACACATAAATCAAGCAAAATTAATAAACTGCAGTGTTTATTACACACAGAGAAGTAAAACATGACAAAAATACAGAGTCGAAAATAGAAATAATAAGCGGGAAAAGAAATTCTTTAAAGGAGATAGATAATTCTAGGTACATATTGTTTTGCAAGGCAAACAATTAACAAAGCATGTATTTAATAGGGTCTGTTATCCAAAATTTATAAAGAGTTTTGGGGTGCTATGTGAGTAACTCAGTAAATAAAATGCTTGTAGAAGCTTGAGGCCCTGAGCTTGATCCTCAAAACCCACAGAAAAAGCTAAACATGTGGGTACGTACTTAAAATAGCAGGCTAGAAAAGTGGAGCTAGACAGAGCCCTGAGCTCACTGACCAGCCAGCCTATGGTGTGTTCCTGGCTAACCAACCAGAGACCTTGCCTCAAAGAATTAGGTGAAGGGGTCAAAAAGTGAGGTTGTTCTCTAGACTCTACATAGATGTGCACACATGTGTATGTGGTACATACACAAATAACTTTTTGCAAAATAAAAGGCTTGCCTTGCATGTATGAAGCACTGAATTTAATCCACATAGTAACAACAAGAGGAGGAGGAGGAAGAGAAGGTAAAATAAAGTTCTTAGGAGGAATACTCTGGAGGCTGAGACAGGAGGATTGCCTGAGTACAGAAGCTTGAGAACTCTTATAATTTAGCAACAACAACAAAAGCCAAGTAACCCAATTTTAAAATGGGGTTGGTGGACAAAAAACAAACAAACAAACCAAAAAACCTAAGGCCTTTCTCTATGACAATGGTACTCAACCTGTGAGTCGTGACCCCTTTAGGGGTCAAACAACCCTTTCACAGGGATTGTCTAAGATCATCAGAAAACACAGATATTTACATTACAATTCATAACAGTAGCAAAATTACAGATACAAAGTAACGACAAAATAATTGTATGGTTGGGGTCACCTCAACATGAGGAACTGTATAAGGTCATAGTGTTAGGAGGTGGAGAAGCACAGCTCCACAAGGATATGCAAATGATCAAACAGGTGAAAAGATTGTTCAACATTAGGAAAATGAATATCAGAATGTACATTTCACATCCAAGTAGGGTGGCAACTTAAAAACCACTAGAGTCCATCAGTCACTTCAGGAGAGAAGCACGCTGCAGTGCCTCGGTGTGCTGGAGCCTAGATCAAAGTACAAAACAGTTCCACACAGAAACTAACCTACAATGGATGGGGAACCCCAAACAGAAACCCTTCACATGTTGCTGGTGGAAAGAGAAAATAGTTCAAAGACTGTGAAAACCAGGAGGCTGGAGAGATGGCTCAGCAGTTAAAAGCACCAAAGGACGCGGGCTCAATTCCCAGCACCCACACGGCAACTCACAACTGTCTGTAATTCCAGTTCCAAGGGATCTGACAGCCTCACACAGATATATGTTCAGGCAGAATATCAATGTACATAAAATAAAAATAAATTAATTTAAAAATTTTGTGGAAACCAGTTTGGTAAATCTCAAAAAGGTAAATATAACTGCAGGACTATCCTAGCAACTCCACTTACTCATTTACATACATGAAAACATTAAAGCACCCAATCACATGTGTATACATGTTCACAGCAGTATTTTTCAAAATAGTCAAAAGGTGTAAATGGCCTAGATATTTACCAATAATGAATGAATAAAAATGACACATGCTATAATATGGATGAACCCAAAAGGTATTATGCTAAGTAAAAGAAGCCAGAAACAAAATACAAAATATATAGAACAGGAAAAATAGAATGCTGATTGGCAATTGCTGGAGGCAGAAACAAAAAGAACCTATGTAACAGATAATAAATTTTACATGGTATAACGGAAATATCCTAGAATTAGAGATTGTAGACACATAATTGTAACTGCATGATTAACATTTTAAATGCATATTACAGAACATGGACGTGAACAACTAAGGCTCACATACTCAGAAAGCTGAAACAGAAAGATAGGTTCAAAGCTATCCAGAAAGCTGAAACAGAAAGATAGGTTCAAAGCTATCCTGGGCTATGCAGCAAGAGTTTACCTTAGAAAAAAAATAAGGGAGATATATATATATATATATGAACTATTAAAAAATTCATACTATGCCAACAGGAGGAGGCAGAGGCAGGCGGATCACTGTGAGTTCAAGGACAGCCTGGTCTACAAAAGGACAGCCAAGGCTACACCAGGAAACCCTATTTTGAAACAACCTCCCCCCAATCATGTTTAATCATGTCAGTATCTACATTTAGGTATGTGTGTGTGTGTCTGCACATTGCACAATACAAAACACTAGTCATACATGGCTACAGTGCACTTGAATGATGATATATTCCAAATATTGCTGTTTAAATACCCAATGAATTTTTTTTGTAAAACAAAACACCTTCAACAATTTAACACTAAGTTCATGTTGAAATGATAAAGTACACTGGGTCAAAATACATTATAAAAATGTGAATTTTTTTCCACATCTTTAAAATTGCTTCGAAATTTAAAAGCATTACAGTCTCCTAATTAAAAAAAAAAAAAAAGAAAAAGAAAGAAAGAAAGAAAAAAAAAACAACTTCTAAATGATAGGAAGCAAAATAGGGGATATAGCTCGGTGGTGGAACACTTATCTACCATGTGTGAGGCCCAAAAATCAGTATCATGCACAAAAGAAAAGGAGGGAGGGAGGAAAGAGAACATACAATTCTGTAAGCATAGTTTGAGATTTTAACACACATCCTTCAGGTACTTGAAATGAAGACTGCAATAAATGAACTTGACCTGATGACTTAACCTTAGGCACTACAGCCATCAAGTACAGTAACATATGCTTTAAGCACTCTTGTTACCATGATAGATCTTAAGGTGGACCATGATTTTAGTTCAAGACTGAAGCTGCACAATGTACTGCTGTGCAGCATGAATACCAAGGAGAAAGGGACTAACAGGTTCCTGGTTCCATGCAGGACACAATGAGCTCCTCCTGCATCTCCCACTGAATGCAGCTAACACAAATGGACAGAACACATGGAGCAACTATGGAGGACTCTGGAAAGTAAACATTAGCAAGTGGGTGAGGAAGAAGACCTTAACATAATACTGAACCAACAATAGATTTACCTTTTTATTATTCCTCCAATATCCACCAGCCGGAACTGCAGCCTGAAACCCAAAAGTGAGCATCAGTGTAGGTAAAGGGCTCCAGAAAAAGCCTGATTTTAGTTCAAGTTTTGTAATCTTGAGAGAATGAGAACCTCACATTTTTCTTTAAATTCTCTGCATTCTCTCTATGCCATCCCAGGACAAAAGTCATCATAGAAACAAAGACCCACAAGAACCCAAAATTCTGAAATAGAGGCCTTCGTTGAAAAAGGGAGAGGCAAAGACTCCCAGTTTCTGTCACCCCCCAGCCTCAGCCTCCGACCCTTATTACTTTCATCATTTTTACTCCCACACACATTAGCAGTTTCAGGTTTAAATATAGCCTTGCCTTTCTAGATACAGGACTGAAATAAGTCCCTAAGAAACCAGACAACAGTGACCCTTAGATTGTGGGAAAGACACCAGGAAAGCAATCTTAAAGAGCGACTAAACTCCAGTGTTTACCCCAAATGGGTACCTGTAACTCAAACAAGCAAGCTGAAGACTCTCAGAACTGAAACATAAGACAGACCACTAACCAGATCCATGGTGGCCACAAAGTATCATTTACAGAGTAAGTCTCAATGTCGATTGCACAGGCTTTCTTTCTGGGATACACAGTAAACGCACAAACTCACAATCCTCTTCTCATAGCCTTCTCTAAGCACTGAGATTACAGGTTTGCACCACTACGGACATCAAAAATATAACTATTTTTAATGAGATTAGAATAACATGTAGGAGGCTGGAGAGATGGCTAAGAGGTTAACAGCGGTGGCTGCTCTTCCAGAGGTCCTAAGTTTAACTACCAGCAACCACATGGTGGCTCACAACCATCTGTAATGAGATCTGGTGCACAGGCAGAATGCTGTAGGATGGATAGGATGGATGGATAGATGGACGAATGGATGGATGGATGGATGGATCTAAAAAATACAAAACAACAACAACAACAAATGCCAATGGCAAATCAAATTGGCATACCAAAGGGGAAATTTTCAGCTTCTATCAGCAATGCCAATGCCAAATTGACAGAGATATTAGAATTGTAAAAACATTAATATAGCTGGAATAAAAATGTTCCAGTAACTAAGTGTAAACATTCTTGAAATAAAAAGTACTAGCAAAGAAACAATAGAAAAGCAAATGGAAATATAAGAATTGAAAATAAGTAGATCAGATTATAAAGTGATGAAAGAAGAAAGAAAAAGAAAGAAAGAGAAAGAAAGAAAGGAAGGAAGGAAGGAAAAGAAAGAAGTTTAGGGCGGGCATGGTGTTGTACAACTTTAATCCTAGCACTTGGGAAGGCAGAGGCAAGGTAGATCTCTGAGAGTTCAAGGCCAGCCTCATCTACAAAGGTGCCCATATCTGAACATTTATGAACATTTAGAAAGCACTAAACAATTCTTTTTCCTGTCTCAAAAAAAAAAAAATTAAACTTGTTGGATGAACTCAAAACTCAACAACAGCAGAATGAAGATTACAAATCAGTATCTCTTAGCAACATACAAGCAAAAAAACCTCAACAAAATACTGATAAAATCCAGCAACATATTACAAGGACTATAAACCAAGCCCAAGTGAGATCTATCCTAGATATGAGAAAATCATTGTCTTGGGATCTAAAGACATTTTATACCTGACTCTAGTCCTTATGGGACCCAACTATATATCTTCCCTTTAGTTCTCTGTATCCTTTAAGAGCTGTCCATCCTTATTGAAAGAGGAATTAGGCAACGCGATAGTTGAACATTTTAAAGTGTTCTACAAGTGTTTTTGTGATTTATTTTTCTGTGTATGGGTGTTTTGCCTCCATGTGTGTCTGTATATCACCTGAGTTCCCAGTATCTATGGAAGACAGAAGAAGGTATTAGATCCCCTGGAACTATACTTACCGATGGTTGTGGGCAACCATGTGAATTCTGGGAACTAAGCACAGGTCCTCCAGCAAAGTGTTTTTAACCACTAAGAGCCACCTCTCCAGCCCTACATCTTTTGTTTGTTTGCTTGCTTGTTTTTGACACAGGATCTGTCTATTATGTTAGCCTGGTTGTCCTGTAACTCACTATGTAGACCAAACTGGCCTTAAACTCACAGAGTCCACCTACACCTGCTTCCAGTGTGTGGGATTAAAGGTGTGTGCCACCACACCTGGCCAGTCCCCACATGGAAACATTATAAACGTTTGGAAGGCTCTGTACGGGTGGTACTTGGGAAGCAGGAGGGTTACTGCAGATTTAAGGCCAGTATAGGCTACAAAATGAAATGAAAGACAATGCTGTAGAAATTAGGATTAAATATAGCTAATTTGATATGGCCATAAAATTCACCTGTTGTTATCATAACCTTGCAAAGCCTTGCCTACTTTAGTACACATAGATCATTGTACAACTAACGTAAAACTTTTTTTAAAAGACAGGGTTTCACGTATCCCAGGTTGGCCTGAAACTCATTACATAGCCAATGAGGACCTTGAACTCCTCTGATTTTTGCTGCCCACACTTCCCCAGTTTTGGAAAATCTTACAGTAAACTTATCCAAGTGTCAGATGTAAGTTATGTTAATAAGAAAGAAAGAACCAAGGGAAGGAAGAAAGGAAGGAAAAACACAAGTATTTGGCAACTAAAAAAATTAGAACGTTGATATCAAAAAGATATTTTTGTATATACGAGGGCCCTTCCCTCTTGCCAGTGGGAATTGAAGATCTTTTGTTTTCTGTACTAAAGCAGAACAGCAAAAATGTTTTTATAGAAAGTTGAAAAAAAAATCTATGTATTAATTTGCTTTGGGTCATTCCAGTCTCTCTAGTAAGCTCATAATTAGGAAGGCCTTTTTAGGGCTGTGCTCTAGTCTCACAGGTGCAAAGCTACTCCATATCTGGAAAAATCTAAATTCATATACGAGGAGATTGTGTTTTTAAAGCATATTATTTACACAATTCACTGGAATGGCTCCTCTGGAAGCTGGGGGGCTCTCTTATGCAATTATGTACTTAGGAACCTTCCTCTGCACAGCCGTGGAAATTCAAGTAAGAATAATTTACTGGTTATGCACAGTTATTAGAATTTTAAAGCATTTGTTTGTTCAAAATTCTAGTTTATCAGACAGTTATATCTGACTAATTGTGTCCTTAATAAATAACAATGAACAAATGTTTTAGAAGGTAGCCAGGCTTGAATTTTAATGCTCTAAGGAAGCACAGGGAGCCCTTTCCCCCTCCTTATGAGGGGATTTTCCTCCCTTTCTATCTACCCAAGCTTTGCAGTGAAATTAACTGGGATTCTAAACATCTGCATTAGAATGCTGACTTCAACTAGAGATGCGGAACTTTATCTGTAAGGAACTGTTAGAAACATTTTAAGAGTAAAGAAACCGGGAAGCATAGAAATTAAGACTGTCCATTTTGAAAGAATAAAATAAGAACTATTTTTTAAAATTAGATAAAAAATTAAACATTAGCAGGCAACAGGGCATCGTAGCACTATCTAGAGACAGAATGTTTTCAATACTAAAACAGTCATTTTGGGGCTAGGGACGTAGGCTGTTTGGAAGACTATTTGCCTAGTATTCAGGGAGCCTATGTTCCATTCCCAGCACCTTATAAACTGTGCAGTGTCACACACCTGTAGTCCCAAAACAGGAGAAGAGTGAGATTATCAGAAGTTCAAGGTCCTCTTCAGCTATAGGCCAGCATGAGATATATATGAGTCTTTTTTTTTTTTTTAGACATTCTGCTAGGTATGTTAGCCCACCCTTTAGTCCCAGCACTCAGGAGGTGGAAACAGATTTCTGTGAAATTGAGGCTAGACATAGGGAGTTCCAGGTCAGAGCTACATTGCCAGAGCCAGTCTCCCCTACCTCTCTCTGGAGAGGGCATGCATGCAAATACACACACACACACACACACACACACACACACACACACACACACACAATTTTTAAATACACATATACAGGAAAATAAGCTTGATGACAAATGTAGGAACAGAGACAAGCAGTATCTTATTTCTCTTATTAGAGAACAAAAGCTCTGTTTATTTATACTTTCTTTGCTATGCCATTTAAAAATTACCTGCTTTTGATTCCTGTTTTTGTTCTTGTTCCTGTTTGTTTTGTTTTGTTTTTCGAGACAGGGTTTCTCTGTGTAGCCTTGGCTGTCCTGGACTCCCTTTGTAGACCAGGCTGGCTTCGAACTCACAGAGATCTGCCTGCCTCTACCTCCCTGAGTACTGGGATTACAGGCTTCCTGTATTTTTTAAATGCTCCTTTTCTTAGTCATAGGAAATGTGCAACTGTCTCAGATTACTAAGTTTTTTGTTTAATAACCACAAAAACTTATTTGGAATTTAACCATATTAAATTCAAGTCAAGGGCTGGAGAGATGGCTCAGCAGTTAAGAGCACTAGCTGTTCTTCCAGAAGAGCTGGGTTCGATTCCCTGCATCCACATGGCAGCTCACAAGTGTTTGTAACTCCTGTTCCAGGGGATCTGACACCATCACACAGGTTTGATACACCTGTTATCAAACAGTATTTGGCATACATACAGTCAAAATACCAATGTACATAAAATAATAATAAAAAAATTATTTTAAAAAGTAAAACAAAACAATGTACTTAAAAAAAAAATCAAGTCAAGCCAGGCAGTAGTGGAGCACACCTTTAATCCCAGCACTTGGGAGGCAGAGGCAGGCAGATCTCTGTGAGTTGAGGGCTAGCCTAATCTAGAGTGAATTCCAGGATGGTCCTGGCTATACAGATACACAGAATAACTCTGTCTTGAAAAACAAAACAAACAAACAAAAAGTCAAATCTTATTGCAAGAAGCCCTAAAGAACTGTTCAAATTCTTTTACTATCCTAAAATGTATTGCATTAAATATTACTTGAAATAAGTAGGCCACCAGCTGAAGTTTTTAATAATGCAAAGTTGGCCTATACACACCCTTCCAATGATCACTGCAGTCACTGGGAAGGTTAGGCTGTATGTATTCCTGAAAGATGGAAGACAGGGCAGAAATGA